AAGAAAGAAAGAAAGAAAGAAAGAAAGAAAGAAAGAAAGAAAGAAAGAAAGAAAGAAAGAAAGAAAGAAAGAAAGAGAAAGAGAGAGAGGCCGGGCGTGGTGGCTCACACCTGTAATCACAACACTTTGGGAGGCCGAGGCAGGCGGATCGTGAGGTCAGGAGTTCGAGACCAGCTTGGCCAACACAGTGAAACCCTGTCTCTATTAGAAATACAAAAATTAGCCGGCATGGTGGTGGGTGCCTGTAGTCCCAGCTACTCAGGAGGAGGCTGAGACAGGAGAATCGCTTGAATTCAGGAGGTGGAGGTTGCAGTGAGCCGAGATCGCGCCACTGCACTCCAGCCTGGGCGACAGAATGAGATTCTGTCTCCAAAAAAGAAAGAGAAGGGCCCAAAGAAGGCTTGGAACCCAACCAGAAGGGCAGACGGAAGCCCAGAGCCTGGCTCCCTTGGTGCAGGGTCAGGTGAGGCTAACATGTGGGTTGCTGCAGTCACCTTTGGGCAAAAAGAGTGTCTCAAACTTTTCAACAGAGCTGGAGAATGTTCCAGAAAAGCAGAGAGCTTGCTAGCTAGGCATTTTCCTTCTACCTTTTTAATCTCAAGGCTGCCTTAACCCTAACCTAGGCTACAGACCAATAGCGCCACAGGGGCCTGGGGTGACCATGTGGCCCTGCCTGGTCTTCCAGAGTCTTCTCTCCAACACGAGATCCAGGACGGGGAAGAGCAGACCTGGGGAAGAGGCCGACTCTCCATCTGTCCATGGATGCGGGACTTGCCCTCAGTCCTGGACAGGGCAGGGGCCTCCCAGCTGCTCCCTTTGATGCCCTGCCTCTTGCCGCCTGGAACATTCTTACCAGCACCAAGAAAACTCTTCCCAACATGTTATTCTGGTCAGCAGGGCCATTCCTTAGGGGAGTAGAGTGCCTAGGGGAACCACACTAGGTAGCCTTCAAACCAACACCAACACCTTGTATTTTTAATTATGATCTTTTCCTTAGAACAGCAATGCCTGGGCTGGGTGCGGTGGCTCACGCCTGTAATCTCAACACTTTGGGAGGCCGAGGTGGGCGGCCTGATTGCCGAGGTGGGCGGCGAGATCAAGACCATCTGGCCAACACTGTATTTTTTCTATTTAAAATACAAAAAATTAGCTGGGTGTGGTGGCGGGCGCCTGTAGTCCCAGGTACTTGGGAGGCTGAAGCAGGAGGATTGCTTAAACCCAGGAGGTG